CTCCTTTCTCTAGCCTGCTCTATTCAGCTTTGGCCACCCAGGGGTTAGAGGCCAGTTCCATCTGGTTGACAGTCTTCACCCCATTAACAAAACATTTTAAAGATAATCAATACTGCTTCCTTTAAAAAATTCCTATTTTGTACATATTTCATAATACATACAATCTATTTGTATAATTGCTGTTGTCGTTCAGTCCAATTCTTTGGGGTTTTCTTGGCAAAGATACTGGAGTGGTTTGCCATTTCCTTCTCCAGTTCATTTTACAGATGAGGAAACTGAAAAGGTTAAGTGACCTGCCCAAGGTCACACAGCTAGTAAGGGTCTGAGGCCAAATTTGAACTCAGGTCCTCCTTACTCCAGGCCTAGCACTCTATCCAGTGTACTACCTAACTAAGTAGTACAAGTGTATACATATAAATTTCATAAAGATATGTATTGGGGGTGAATGTTCAAACACTGTTTTGCTGACCAAGGGTGTATAATCAAAAATGTTTGGAGACTTTTGTGATAGATAAGCAAATAGGGAGGAGTAAAAGGATGGCCTTGCTGTAGCAAGAGCACAGTCAAGCTAGCTAACAGTCGTTTGTAACATATACAATTATGTCTGGGATTTGTCACGGCATGATGATGATCATTAGGACAAAGGAGCAGGCTATCCAAGAGTAGAGAATGGTATAATGTTGAATTGGTTAACTATATGGTCAAGATTGAGGAAAGGAGGAAAAAAGAACAAGAGCAGGGGAATAATGGCTTGAAAGAGTACTGAAGGGTCGAGAGACTGGAGTCAATGAAAGAAGAGATACAGAAACATTCATATGCGACAATAGCTACTTCTATGGAGGCAACAGAATGTAACACAGGGAGAGATGGAAGAATGGAAAGTTATGGTTAGATGGAACAATTTCATAATTCTTGATTGTGGAAGCTGAACGCACTTGGTTGACATCAAGGATGAGACTATCTTTTGTGTGGCGGTGAGGATTCCAGAAGTAGGTCATGAAAGATAAGGAGACTGAAGAACTGGAAATTCAAGGGAATAGCAACATTTATGTTGTAGTCACCTAGTATCAGGAAAGAACTTGGGGTAGTGAAGAAAACTATGAGCCAGGAAATGAACTTAAAGAGAATGACCTGAGGGTCAGTATATGAGTGCCACCTAGATCTGGACTGGATGACATCTTTACATAGAGTGAACCTCAGAAGAGAACAAGTTGCTGAGTGATGGAAGCAGAGGGAAAGTCTGGAAAAAGTAATGGGAAGCAATGAATATTATAACTCCCAGGTCAGGACCAGTTAAACTTTAACTAGAAATTAGTGGAAATACTCAATTATATACTATTTTCTGTCCTTGTACCCCCTGTTCCAGAAGCTGCCACACATTACCAAACCACATCTTGGGTTATTCCCAACATCATCTTTTTCTGTTCTTAGTGGAAAACTACAAAACAAAGTTGGACAAAGTTGTGGGCCTGTTATAAAACTCATATTATCTAATCTCAAAGAGGTCCTATACAACAATCCTTTCTATTCTTTGCTGATTAACTCTTTATCCTACCTTCCCTGCAGTAGCTGTGGAGATTCCTTCCCTTTGCTGTTACATTATAATCTATGATGAGGATAGCGATCTATGGAACTGGCATTAACAGTACAGACGTCTACTATCTTTTTGGGCATGTATCTGGGAGGTAAGAGAACTTTCCAAAACTTATCAAATCTGATGACTACCATACATTTCTGGTGATTCACCTGGCAACAATTCACACCAACATAAGTAATCCAGAAAGCATCATTTGGGATTATTAAGTTCTGGAAGAAACTCAAGATCACAGGGGCACAGATGGTATTTTAACTGCTACCAACTGAAGTTGGGTACTTCTAAAGGGAAAGGTAGATTTGGGAAAATGAAGGGCTGGTTAAGAGGATGTTATCTGAGACCTGGAAACAACAGGGCCAACAATTATGAAAAGGACAAATAAATTGTGGTATTTGGCCATATAGAAATATTTGTACCACAAGGAATTATACATATGAAGAATTTTAAGAAATATGAAAAGATATTAAGGGATACAGAGTGACTAGAAATGATGAAAAAAAAGAACATACACACTAAGTATAGCTATGCAAATGAAGACAATGTTAAAAGGCAACAAAACTCAGTTTACTTACATTGGATAATTTTGGTATTACCATGTGAAAGTTTGGCACACAACCTTCTTGTCTTTAAAAAAAATTGTAAATTAGGGGCAGCTAGGTGGCGCAGTGGATAGAGCACCGGCCCTGAAGTCAGGAGGACCTGAGTTTAAATCCGGCCTCAGACCAAATACTTGACACTTATTAGCTGTGTGACCCTGGGCAAGTCACTTAACCCCAATTGCCTAAAAATTAAAAATTAAAAAAAAAAATTGTAAATTACATAAGTGAACAGTGGCATATATAGCAATACTATCAAGTGCAAAAACTTGTTTGACTGGTTTTTGAGGAGGGAAATATGTCTTATTTTTGTTTATGTGCTTTGTTTATGTCTATCTGCAGTGTTAAAATAAAATAAAATTTATTCATATAAAAACAAAAATGAAAATAGGATTTGGATTTCTGGACCATAGCTTAAAATACTGGAGATAATAATGTATATAAGAATATTTAATATGAGTTGATAAAAATATATTTACCTGGAGTCTTGAAAATATAATCAAGAGGGTTTTAACAACTCTGAGGTTTCACATCACACCTATCAGATTGGCTTACATGACAAAAAGGGAAACTAAATGTTGGAGAAGATGTGGGAAAATTGGAACACTAATGTATCATTGGGAGAGTTGTGAACTGATGCAACCGTTCTGCAGAACAATTTGGAACTATGCCCAAAGGGCTATAAAACTGTGCATGATACCCTTTGATCCAGCAATATCACTACTAGGTCTATATCCCAAAGAGATTATACAAAAGAGAAAAGGACTCACATGTTCAAAACTATTTATAGCAGCTCTTTTTGTGGAGGCAAAGAATTGGAAATTGAGGGGATGTCCATCAATTGAGGAATGGCTGAACAAGTTGTGGTATATGAATGTAATGGAATACTATTGTGCAATAAGAAATGATGAACAGGCAGATTTCAGAAAAACCTGGAAAGACTTGTATGAACTGATGCTGAGTGAAGTGAGCAGAACCAGGAGAATGTTGTACACGATAACAGCAACATTGTGCAATGACCAACTTTGTTAGACTTAGCTCTTCTGAGCAAAGCAATGATCTAAGACAATTTCAAAAGTCTCACAACAGAAAATGTTATCCATATTCAGAGAAAGAATTATAGTCTGAATGCAGATTGAAGCATACTATTTTCTCTCTCTTTTTTGTTGTTGTTTTGTGTGTGTGTGTGTGTGTGTGTGTGTGTGTGTGTGTGTGTGT